AAGTTACATTCTCTAATCTAAAGCCTTTTTTTTTTTTGTACTATGTTTTCATATATAAATTAAAAATCTGCACAAATTTTGGAGGTTGGGTCCTCTCCCACTTGGTTCCGACCTTAGGCATTGGCATTGCGATGGTGGGGATTGAACCTCCACCTCATATATAAAAACATCACACTGGTGCCACTAGAGCCAATGGTCTTGGCAAGATGATCTATCCATCAAGGGTACATTTGATTGGAAGTATGGAATTTGTATGAAAAGAAAATAAATTCTAGACAATTCAATTGTTTAGAACTTATTCATACGGAAATTATTAATTAAACATGTTTGATTAATTTAGTTTTCAACCTAAAAATATTATACTTGTGCATTTCTCATTGGTGGTAAATGAAAGAGCGAGAATAGATAAGAGTTGAGGAAAATATGGTCACATGACCAAAAGTTGAAAAATATTTTTCATGAAAAAAATTGTCAATCAAACATCCAAAAAGTAGGAACTTGGATGGAAAAATAACATTTTCTATGAAAAATAAAGTCAATCAACCACATGCTTAACGGACTTGAATGTCACCTAAATTGGTACTTAATATCCATGATGTTGAATAGCATTATTCTAAACAAATTGTAAAATTCAATGTTCTCTTACGTTTTAGCATGGATTTGATGTTCTTTGCAGTCACTAAGGATTATATTTATTTTTATGCTCAAGTCAAAATAAACTATAGATGTTGAAATAAAAAAATTCAAATATAATATTGTACTCTTTAGGACCTAGTTTGGCGGATCTATGGAGGGTAATTAGATCAAAACACTCCTACCTTTTAATATTATAGTGTAAAACGTCTCACCTATCAAAAAAAATTTTTTCCATTTTCACTCTTATTTTCACCTTTACTTGCCAAAAATCCTTTCATCCACTTACCATCAGTATCTCCGCTAACTAAATAAAAAAAGACCAATTTTCCTTCTTAAAAATGAAGGGTAATATATTATTCTCCAAAAAAAATTCCCCGTTCTTACCCATTCTCTTCTCTTATGTGAGCTCTTACCTTGCTATTTCCACTTAAAAAATTTCAATTTCTTCTATTTATTTGTGCATCCTTCCCTCAATTCTAGTGTGCACTCCCCCAATTTCAAGCTTGATTCTTTGTTTGCCGAAAGGAAAAGGAAAGGTTTTAAATAGCCCTCATTCTATTTATTCTGCAGATTATTCAAAATTTCACTACATTATTGTATGCCTAAATATTATTTTTGGGATAATTGCAGCAAAAGCCTCAAATATTTGAAACATTAGTAGACTTTCCCCAAACCTTTGATTTGTTGCAGTCATTACCCCTAACATTTCCAAACGTTGCAGGTGAAGCCCTTTTGGATGGTTTCCATCAATTTCTCCATCAGTTGACCACCAAAACAAAACAAAAATTGACCACTTTTTACCAAAATAGGGGAGGGCAAAATGGTAACTTACTATTTTTCCCATAAAAAAGTTAAAAATTATATAAAAAACAAAAATATAAAAGAAAAAGGAAAATGTATCTTGTTCTCCTTCTCCTTCTCCTTCACCCCCACACCCACACCCATGCACAAGCCCAACCCCTCAACTTAAAACCAGAAATTTGCCACCACCACACCCACCGCCATCGACCACCACCACCACCACCGTGAACACCAAAATGTACAATTTTATGTTGAAAAAGAATTTGAAGAAAACCTACAATTCCAAGTACCCAATAGGGTTAAGTACGACGTAATGTGTGTATTACCATTATATACACAACACCAAAAATGGTCTTTTGCAACATTAAAAAGGCAACATTTGTCAACAAATGTCTTTTGGCAACGTTTTAGCAAGTGAATGTTGCCATTGATTAATATAAATGAGTTTTGGCAACGTTTTTTAGAAAAATATTGCGGTAGACACCTTTAGCAACGTTTATTAAGT